CACAAGCTCAACATGTCCTAAGTCTTTAAAGTTCAACAGTATGCCCAAGGCGTGGGCAGGCACATCTCAGAGGAAACCTACGTGTAGGATGCAGAGCCACCGAAGGAGCCTGTTCACACCATTCAGTTAGGGGTGCTGCCCTGCTCGTCACCAGGCTGCTGTGATGGCTTTGTTCTGCTCTGGAGAGCTCGGCCCACCTCACCTGTGCTGGCTGCCTGCGGGTGGTGGGGTCTGCCGGTCGGTCATGGTTTTGCCCCTGCCCAGTGTGTGAGCCAGTGTACCATGACACTGTGTTCCTCTGCTGGCCCCACTGATCCGTGAGGGAAGGTGGACAGTTGGGGAGGATGTCTGGACTGCTGTGTGTGGACTTGTCCTGGGGGCTCACTGGGGACAGGAACACAGGGTCTGGAGGCTGTTGCTGTCAGCTGTCTCCCCAGCTTCCTCAGCTCACACGTCTGTTAAATCAGGTTGGTCCCCAAGTTGTGACTAAGCCAGGCCTGGTCCTGCCCTGAAGACCGTGTGCCAGGATGGTAACCCTTGAGCAGGCTGCAGGGCTGGACCCTGGGGGGCGTGGTCACCTGGCTCCATTGGGCCTCCAACACTTAGGACCCTGTTCCCTCAGGACGACGCAGGTGATTTTGTATCTAAGCTGCCACACCAGGGGTTTATAAGAGATGGTTCCTCAGCTGTGTACACACTGAACGTACATGCTGGTCCCAGTTCTTCCTGTCCCCACCCTCTCTGGGCTAGGGTGTTCACACGCTCACACTCACACGTGTGCATACACACATGCCGGCCCTGGTTCCTTCTGCCCCCACCATCTCCACACTAGGGTGTTTACACTGCTACACACGCATGCTGCTCCCGGTTCTTCCTGTCCCCGCCCTCTCTGGGCTAGAGTGTTCACATGCTCACACTCACACATGTGCATACACACTGGTACCGGTTTCAGGGTATTCACTTTGCCCCCCTCTGGAAGTTCTAGATCCCACCTGTAGGTAGGAATGCTGTGTGGACCCCCAGGTCTGGCACGTGCCTGTGAGCTGAGTCCTCAGACTGAGTCCCCAGAGAGCAGGGCTGGGATGGTATTAGGACTAGAGCCCTCCCCACCATGACCCGGTGTCAGAGAGGCTGTCTTTGGGAGCTGGGCTTCAAGCCTGGTCCACAGGCGCCCAAAGCCAATCACATCAGGCTCCGTGTTTTGGGTCTATGTGTGAGCGAGGTGGGGTTCAGACACAGGCTCCGTGTTGTGGGGCTGTGCGTGAACAAGGTGGGGTTCAGACACATGCTCCGTGTTGTAGGTCTGTGCATGAGCGAGGCGGGGTTCAGACACAGGCTCCATGTTGTGGGTCTGTGCGTGAGCGAGGCGGGGTTCAGACACAGGCTTCGTGTTGTGGGTCTGTGCGTGAGCGAGGCGGGGTTCAGACACAGGCTCCGTGTTGTGGGTCTGTGCGTGAGAGAGGTGGGAGCAGCCACACACTCCACATTGTGGTTGGTGTGGGTGAGTTGGTGGGTCAGCCCACCAGGGATTCACTGGGGGTGCCCGGGAACCTGGGATCTGGGTTGGCTGACCAGAGTTGAGTTAAGGTGTGCACCCTTACTTGGCTGTGCCCCCAGGGGCTCCTCGTCCTCCCTGCCCTGACTAGGAGAGGCGGAGAGTCTAGATTTCTGTCTTTCTCTGAGCCACAGGATATAACCCTGTCCTGAGTTGGCACTAGGACTGTGCATTCCAGGCACCCCTGGGGACAATTCAGAAATTGGAGTCAGATGGGTTCCAGGCATGGGGCTCCCAGGGAGCTGGGCCAGGGGTCAGGTGGTCTCCTGGCTGGGTTTGCTGTCCCACTTCATGAGTGTTCTGGGACCATCCCAGCGAAGCTCTGCCCTCTGCAGGGATGACAACGCAGGCTCTCTTCCGTCTGGTCTGGGTGCCCGACTCACTCCAAGGCTCTAGGGGAGGCCCACTCTTTGGACGTGTGTGTCTGCAGTCTGTATGCGTATTTGTTTATGTCTGTGCTTATCTGTATGTGTCTCTCTCTGTGCATGCATATGTGTGTGTCTATGTATCTATGTGTTAATATGTGTACCTATGTTTCTCTGTATTTGCGTGTGTGTGTTTGTGTGTCTTTATATCTGTGTGCGCTGGTGTTTCTGTATTTGCTTGAGTTTTCTGTGGGTAGATGTGTTTCTCTTTGTGTATGTGTATGTTTCTGTGTGTAGATGTGTGTTCGTGTGTGTTTCTCTGTATGTTTCTCTGTATGTATGTTTCTGTATGTATGTGTGTTTGTAGGTGTGCGTTTCTGTGTGTATATGTATATATATGTTTATGTTTATGTGTGTATATGTGTATATATTTCTGTATACGTTTCTGTGTGTGTGTGTATGTGTGTGTTTCTCTGTGTGTATGTGTGATTCTCTGTATGTGTGTTTCTCTGTGTGTGTGTTTCTCTGTGTGTGTGTGTTTCTCTGTGTATGTGACTTTGTGTTTTTGTCTGTATATTGTGTTTCTGTGTGTCTGTGTGTTTCTCTGTGTGTCTGTGTGTTTCTCTGTGTATGGGTGTGTTTCTCTGTGTATGTGACTCTCTTTGTGTTTTTGTCTGTATATTGTGTTTCTGTGTGTATGTGTGTTTCTCTGTGTGTCTGTGTGTTTCTCTGTGTATGTGTGTACATGTGTGTGTACTGACATCCCTAACTTGGCCGTGGAGGTTGATATCACTGTATCTGTATTTCTGTGTGTGTCTGTGTTTTCTCTGCGTTTCTGTGTGTTTCTCTGTTTCTGTGTGTACATGTGTGTGTACTGGCATCCCTAACTTGGCCATGGAGGTCGATGTCACTGAGATGGAGAGTTCCCGGTCCCAGCGGAGCCACTTTGTGTACTAGAACTCTTGACTCCATCTTGTTTCTTGAATAATAACTTACGTTCTTTGTTTTCCTTATTATTATTTTAAGTGTTTCATTGTGTTTTCAGTGAAAGTTTGCAGTTTCTATACAGATTGTTCAGTGGATTACTTACATTCCTCACAAAATGTCGACACACTCTTCTAACTGCTTAGTCCCATTTCCGGAGCTGGATCCTCCCCGCCCCTATTGCCTCATTTTTGCTGGTGGGTTAGTGTGGCCTTTTGATCTCCTGTAGGTGACCTCTGCGTGGAGTGCTTGTCATGACGAACAGCCCTCACTTTCCTCAAATGCTGTTTGTCTGTGTGTCTGTGTGTGACGCGCTCAGGGTTGGCCTCAGGGTGTAGTTTCAGTTTAAGGGTTAGCGAGCGTCTCAGGGTGCCAGTCTCCAGGAATCCTCCAGTCTCAATCATTCTAGTAAGCCTAGACATTTTAAGACTTTGCATTCTGTTCTACTTTTCCTTCCCAACTCTCAGGTCCAACTATTGTGGCCCTGGTCAGCCCTGTGAGTGGGGGTAGCCGAGTCTCTTCTAGTTCTGGTCTCCTGTGGGCTGTTCATCGGCTGGACTAGTCTCTTCTCTTTGGCTCCTGATGACTAGAGACCAGTAGTTGGTCTGCTCACAGGCTTTGCAGACCCTGGACACTAATCGCCTCATGGGACGCAGAACATGAACTTATGAATAAGGTGTTTTAAGTCAGTTGGCTGAGTTGGTCCGTTTTCAGTCACTACTTTAAAAAAGAAGGAAAAACAAGGCTTGTGTCCACTCACGACTGACTATCATGCACCCCTAGAGAGCCTGCCTGCCCACCCGCTGGGCTCTAGCCAGGGGATTGGACTGCCTGTTGTCCCTGCACAGCCCTGTGGCCCACCGTGTCCCTGTGGATGGTGTCGGGTGCACGGTCACCTGAGCTGGCCGCAGGGCTTGGACCGCCTCACTCTTTCATGAGCTGCTCAGGGGCCCAGTGTGGCTGCTGCCACTGCTTCCGGCAGGAGGGGCCTGGGGAACGGGGCTGACCAAGTCTCCTGCAGGGTCTTTAGGGGTCTGAGTGGGGGCGCGGTGAGGGGCGAAGGTCACAGGTCCTGCTGTGCAGGGTATGGGTAGTGAGAGGGGCCAAGTGGGCACTTCTTCAAGCTGAGCCATCATGCTATTGCTCACTAGAGGGGCTCCCCCGTCCCAGGTGCCCTGGCCTGGAGGGCTTCACTCAGTACCCCGCCCTCTGCTCAGCACTGTGCTGTGAATAGCCCCATCCCAGCTGAGGAAACCGAGGCACCTCTGAGCTATCAGGTTCAGCTGTCTAGCCTACCAGCATCAAATCTTCAGGGATGTGTGGGAGTCTCCCAGTTCCTTGTCCACCAGCCTCCTGTAGCTGCAGGACGTGTGGGGCCTGGGCCGGGACCCCCCAGTGGGAGCAGGTGGGGGGACACAGGTGATGGGACCCACAGTGACACCATCCCCCTGATTTTCTGAGCATCCCCTCTCTGGGCCCCGCTCCAGGCTGGTCCTGGTGGTGACAGGCCCGCCCTGGCTTGCACAAGTGTGGGGCAGTGATGACTGGAAGGCCAAGGGTTTCCGCACATCCTCGTGGGCTGGGCCAGGAGCAGCACCTCCCCTTCTGGCTGCCTCCCTGCCTGGCTGTTTGGGGTCCTTCCTTAGGAGGGGCCTAGAGGCCAAGGAGCAGAGTGGCTCCTTGTACCAAAGGACCCGATGAAGTTGTCCGGGACCCTGCCTGGCTACATGCAGCCTAGGAGTCCAGCACTGGGCCCAGCCCTGGCTCAGGTCACACCGTGGTGCCCACCGAAGGGTCCTGGGGGGTCCCTGCTTGGAGGGACAGCAGACATGTGGAATAGCCCACGTGGCTCTGGGTCCCCTCACTTGTGTTTGGTTGGGCATGGCTCTGGCCACCTCCTGGGGGCTCTTCCTTGGGTGCCACTCAGATGACAGGGATCTGCCAGGTGGGGCCTCCGCGGACATGGGGGTAGGTCCCGGCTCAGCAGGACAAGCTCAGGACCTGTCTTTCTGCCCTAGGACATGCCTCCGCCTCCACCGCCCAGGGAGACACGCAGATAGAGGCCACACAGCCGCCGGTGGTTGTCCCGCCCGCCCATGCTTGTGGTGGGCCCTGCCATGGACGGGGAGTGCCCCCAGCGAGAGCCCCCGCCTGTGGGCAGCGTCCTGTATGGCCGACCCCCCCTGCAGGCCCCGCTCTGCGGCTCCAGTGTTGAGGTGAGTGGCTGCGTCCTCCCCTCCCCCCACCTGGGTCCCTCAGCGGGTGGCACCATGTCAGTGGTTATCTGGGGGCAGCTGCTCTCAGTGTGAGGGTCACTGACTGTTGAAGTTCCTCCTGACCGTCAGGGACTGAGCCTCCTCTGAGTTTGGGGGCTGAGTTGAGGGAGTTTGGAATTGGGTCCCTTTGATATTAGACTTTATTTCCCACAGCAGTCTCAGGGTTCCAGAACTGGGGCCTCGTGGACAAGGACTCACAGAGTGACAAGTGCCCCTAGGGTTTCCCAGTGCAGAGCTTTGGTGGCTTCAAACTGCTCGTGTTAGCAGCTGAGCTCTTTAACCCCTGCACCACCAGGCTCCTGCAGTAAGCACTTGCTACATCTCTCACCGCTGATAGGTTACGATTAACTCGTCTCTTCTGTAGCTGGGTGACTTCAGTTCAGTGCTGACTGGTTAGGTGTTTGGTTTCAATCCACCTGGTATGTACCTCCAAAGAAAGGCCTGGTAATCTTCTGAAAAACACTTGTCCCTGCACGCGAGGGTTGCCATGACTAGGAATCAGCTCAACAGCAGCTAGTTTGGGTTCTTTTGGATTTGCAGTTGACCTGAGAGCCCGTTCTGTGTGGTCTCTTCCTCAGGGTTTTGATAAATGCTTTGTGCCCCGTGTCCACCACACCAGTGCCCCCCACAGTAGTTTAGGCCCCTGTCCGCCCCAGACCTCACTGTCCAGAAAGCCTGCCTGTTCCAGGATAGCTGGAATGGTACACAGCCTCTTTAGACTTTGTTGTGGTTGTTAGGTGCTATCGAGTTGGTACTGACTCCTAGTGACACTGTGCATGCCCGAACGAAACACTGCCCAGTCCTGCGCCAACCTCACAGCCGTTACTACATTTGAGTCCATTGCTGTTGGCACTGTGCTGATCTGTCTCATTGGGGGTCTTCTCTTTCGCCGACCCTCCACTTTACCAAACATGATATCCTTTCTCCAGGGACTGGGCCCTCTTGATATAGGTCTGAAGTATGGGAGATGAAGTCTGGCCATCCTGGCTTCTGATGAACACTCTGGGTGCACTTCTTCCAACACAGATTGGCTTGTTTTTTTGCTTTGTTTTGTTTTATGGTGAACTGAGTGATAGTTTACATGGGAAAACATCGGCTTCACACCATTGTTCCGCTGCGATGATTACAATCTCCTCCATACATCATCATTCTACAGTATTGGCAGTATTTGCTTCCATTCCCTCTTTTTTGTTTTGTTGTGTTTTGAGGGGGCTGCTATATACAGAAACACTCAGGAATATATAATAATTTAAACAACCAAAGGGCACATTCTGCAAGCCTGCCTCCTGGCCACCAGCTCTCAGTCCCTGTCTTTCAATGAGTCCAGAGTCCTCAGCTGCTCCCTCTCTCCATGTCCCAATCTCTGCCTCCATCTCTGGTGTCGCTGCTTCTCTGGATCAGGTCTCGTATTCCGCTTGTGCTCTTCTCCCTTGATGGTTCTAGATTCCTCTGTTTCTGGACTGTAAGATTAACTACTCCCCCGTTTTTGTCACAAAACTACCTCTACAATTGTGACAGTTGCAATTAGTCATGATAACAATTACTATTGAATCAAAAGAATCTTATCCCCATCTTTTTCCACCAGACCCAACTAGACAAGATGAAAATTATTCAGTTGGGACTCTATCTTCCCCCACACACTCTTAAACTAAACTCCCTCTTGAAACCTTGTAAGCCAGACACTTTGTCCCTTTATCACCCGCTCATTTTAGGTAGCCAACGTCTAAGTTGCCTGTCCCTATCTACCCTGTGTACAGAGAGGATAGATAGCATTGATAGTTGATGTGAGGACTCCTTCTCTCTCTGTTGGTATTTTGAGCTACTACATTTAGGTATAGGTCAAGTTCATCAATTGTAACAATTTATACTCATTTCCTGTATCAAAAATTGTTTTGTTTTTTTTTAATCTTCCTGTAGTCGAGCTCTGATTGATTATCAAGTCATCAAGGTTAGGTCAAATGGATACTATCTGCAAGTTTGGGCTTTCTTCTGTGTTTTTTGGGTTTTTTTTTTTTTAGGTAGTCCATGGTACTTTTAATATTCTCCAACACCATAACTCAAAAGCATCAATTCTTCTATGGTCTTCCTTATTCACTGTCCAAATTTACATGCATATGCATATGAGGTTATTGAAAATACCATGTCTTGGGTCAGGTGCACCTTAGTCCTGAAACTGACGTCTTTGCTCTTCCACACTTTAAAGACGTTTGTGCAGCAGATTTGCCTAATGCAATACGGTGCTTGATTGCTTGACTGCTGCTTCCATGAGTGTTGATGGTGGATCTAAGAAGAATGAGGTCTTTGACAATTTCAGTCTTTTCTCCATTTGCATGGCTGTTGTTCATTGGTCCAGTGGTGAGGATTTTTGTTTTCTTTACATTGAGGCGCACGCAACCCTCATTGAAGACTGTGCTCTTTGATCTTCATCAGTAAATGTTTCAAGCCCTCTTTACTTTCAGCAAGCAAGGTTGTATCATCTGCATATGGCAGGTTGTTAATGAGTCTTCCTTCAATCCTGATGCCACGTTTTTCTTCATAGAACCCAGGTTCTTAGATTATGTGCTCAGCATACAGATGGAATAAGTATGTTGAAAGAATACAACCTTGCCACACACCTTTCCTACTGCCTTTTGGTCTATGTATAGGTTCCTCATGAGCAAACTTAAGTGCTCTGGAATACTCCTTCTCCACAAAGTTGTCCATAGTTTGTCATGATCCACACAATCGAAAGCCTTTGCATAGTTAATAAAGCACAGGTGAACATCTTTCTAGTATTCTCTGCTTTCAGCCAAGATCCATCTGACATTAGTGATAAGCCTTGTTCCATGGCCTCTTCTGAAACCAGCTTGAACCTCTGAAAGTTTTCTGTCAGTGTGTGTTTGCAGCTGTTTTTGTATTATCTTTAGCAACATTTTATTTGCATGCAATATTAATGATATTATCCGATGATTTCCACATTGTGTAGGGTCAACTCTGTTTGGAATGGGCACAAATACGGATCTCTTCCAGTGAGCTGTCTTCCAGATTTCTTGGCAGAGATGAGTGAGTGCCGCCTCACTTTGTTGAAAGATTTCAGTTTGTATTCTATCTTTTCTTGGTGCCTTGTTCTTTGCCAGTGCCTTCAATGTACCTTAGACTTCTTTCTTCAGTGCTGTTGGCTCTTGATCATATGCTACCTCTTGAAATGGTTGAACATCCACTGTTTCTTTTTTGGTAGTGACTCTGTGCATGCCTTCCGTCTTCGCTTGACGCTTTCTGCATCGTTCAGTAATTTGCCTTGAGAATCCTTCAGTATTGCCAGTTGAGGTTTGAATTTTTTATTCAGTTCCCTCAGCTTAAGAGATGCTGAGCATGTTCTTCCCTTTTGGTTTTCTAACTCCAGGTCTTTGCACATTTCGTTTTAATAGTTGACTGTCTTTTGAGCTGCCTTTTGACGTTTTCTGTTCAGTTCTTTTGCCTCCTCATTTCTTCCATTTGCTTAGCATCGCTACACTGAAGAGCAAGTTTCATAGTCTCCTCTGACATCCATTTTGTTCTTTCTTGTCTTCTTAATGACTTTTTGCTCTCTTCCTGTATGATGTTCTTGATGTCATCCCACGAATCTTCTGGTCTTCAGTCTTTAGTGTCTAATGCATCAAATCTGTTCTTCAGATGATCTCTAAATTCAGGTGGGATATGTTCATGGTCCTGTTTTGGCTCTCATGGACTTGTTTTCATTTTCTTCAGCTTCAGCCTGAAGTTGCATATGAACAACTGATAATCTGTTCCACAGTCTGTCCCCAGCCTGGTTTTCAGTGATGAGATGAGGCTTTTCAGGAGCTCTGACGACAAAGTGCATTAGGATCTGCAAAGTCAGCAGTTTGACCCTACCAGCCACTGTGTGGGAGAAAGATGAAGCTTTCTGCTCCCATAAAGATTTACAGCCTCGGAAACCCTGTACAGGGTGGCTATGAGTCAGAACCGACTCCACAGCACACAGCCACCATGGAGCTGCCCAACCGTGTCCTTCCTCAGATGCGGTCAGTTTGATTTCTATGTGTTCTTCCACATACTACCCGGGCGTCTCAGCCCCCTCTTCACTATGGCTGGTTCACTTCGCTGTTGGTTTTGGTTGTCTTCCACGAACGGACGGTGGTTTGTCTGCTTGCCTACTGAAGGGTGGCTTGCTTGCTTTGGGGGCAGTTGTTTGTTTTTTAAGTTTTTATTGTGAATTGAGTGATAGTTTACACGGGAGCCCATCAGCTTTACACTCATCCTCTCGTGTTTCATTTCATTGCAATGATTACAATCCCCTCCATGCATCATCATTCAGCAGCGTTTGCTTGCATTCCCTCTGTTGTTTTTTTATGTACACCGAAGCACTCAGGAATATATAACCATTCAAACAACCAAAGGGTACACCCTGCACGCCTGCCCCTCATCCGTCAGCGCACAGCCCCTCTCCCTCCCTGAGTCCAGAGTCCCCAAGCCGCTCCATCTCGCCACGTCATCGAGTCTGCCTCCATGTCTGGCATCACTGCTTCTCTGGATAGGGTCTTGGGGGCAGTTTTTGCATTTATGATAGGTACCAACCCAACCTGCTCGTTGTACATGCAGTACAGGAGACCCTGTGATTAGAAGGTTCCAGAACCCCCAGCAGGTTCTGTGTGGCACCTTTGTCCCCAGGGCTTACTCAGTGCAGACGACAAGTCCTGTCTCTTGACAGGGAAAGGGGCCTCGTCTTCAGGAAGGCTGGAAAGGCACTGGACATGCAGACTGCCAGGTGCAGGCAGTGAGCTCAGTGCACCAGCATGGCCCATTGGGGGCCAGGACCCAGAAGGTGGAGATGGTTCTAGAATGCACTGGAAGTGGGGTGCCAGGAGAAGGACGGGAGGAGAGCATCCTGGGATGTGTGTCCATCGCCCTCTCCATTCTGGAGGCCAAAGTCAGGGCCACTCTCT